GAACGCCAGTACTCTCATGGATGCGAATGTTGAAGGCGAAGACGAGTAAACTTCAGTGAAGGACACTCAGTGAGTACAATACATTAGTTATTGCTCATTACTTTATTATTGTTTTCTTCGTGAAACAACTATTTACTATTGCTTTACAGAACAGGCGAATCATTATTTTATTGTAATGTCCGAGCACTGCTACTAGATCCCGGCTAGTGCCAAAGGGAGGATTTGGAAGAACGCTATCACAGCACCACGCTATCATCGCGCTGATAGCTCCTCACTGGTATACGCGTCAGATGGCACTACATAACATTGTCTATATACAACCAATATGACTGACACCATCTGGTTTTGTACCTATGAAGCATAGGTACTATTATCTAACTATTGCGAAGTGGCCGTACATATTGACTAGAACGTTTGGCTGTGCGTGTGATTGTACCCACGTCGGCCGAGTTGACGATGCCGCGTTTACTTAATTGGACTTTGGAGCATACGTAGCTGCCACTTCCAGAGGCTCAGATGATAATTGAGGAGATGAAGAGCGCTAAACAGCATAAAATTGCAGTACGCAACGTATGCCCCTGTAGAATTTGTGCCGAGGTTGCTACGCACACGATGCGCTATCGCATTTTAACGTGCGCATCTAGTGCATGCGCAAAATGGGGTGGTTTAACTACCATATGCACCTGGAAAATGAATATGTTGACTTGCATTTCTCGCGAGATTGTGGATATTTTTTTCGTTTGGAGGGAATTTAGCTAAAGGTGTTGACCCACCGAGTGGTAAACTTAGTGGTAAGGACAAGGATATTCCTCGCAACCTGGTCAATCATTTTGTCACACCAATACGAATTCGAAACAGTTTAGCCTGGTCGAATAGTGGAGCAATGCCCGCTTTAAACAAGATCCAGAATATTGTTGCTTATCATCGCAAGTCTAAGATCTACAATTCTGACGATATGGATGTGGTTGAGAAATTGATTTGGTTGAATGCTTATTGTGGAAGTGAAGAAGACACACAGCCATGTTCATTTTCCATCAACAAGCGTCAAGATGGCAAACTGCTTTTGGGTGATGGAACAGACAGTGATGTTTTTTGTTGATTATTCGACGAAAGTGCTATTACGACGACGTATGGACCGCTCTCCGGAGTCTTTCATATTTCATCTTGACACCACCTTTAAGTTGAGTCAGGTAGATTACACGACATTTGTATGTGGTATTTCCGACAAGAAGAGAACATTTCATCTAGGAGCAATATTTATTCATCACAGCGGAAGCAGCCTAAGTATTCAACAATGCTAGCGTCACTAAGACAAATCTACAACCAAGCAATGAGAAGGTGCTCATCGTTTGCTACGTAATGGGCGATGCGGATAAAGCGCAAGTGAATGCTGTGCATCAGAACTTTTGTGACGGGGATGTAGTGTATCTCATGTGCTTCTGGCACATGATAACAAAGTTGTACGAGCACGGTCAGTCATTGTCATCAATAAAATTGGCATTAGCTGCCGCTGACGTGTTTGATATGCATTATGCGTTGTCGGAATCACGGTTCCATGCGCGCAAGACACTGGCAGTTTGACGCTGGATGGCAAATCCCGAGGTAGCTGCATTTGGAAAATACTTCTATCGTCAATGTCTAAGTGGCAATTTTTCGAACTGGTACTGTTTCAGGAATGCGTCTGCATTTGCATTCTCCAACAACCTGTGGAAACATTTAACGCAATGATAAAGCAAGTCTACACGGTGCGCCAACGCATGAAAATGGGTCTTTTGTTACAGCAGTTAGCACGGTGTTGTAACGGGGAATCACTCAGTTTCTTGACAAACCAATCGGCACCACAAAAATTAAGAAGCGCGCGCACGAGTTACGTAGAATGGAGTTATTGTTCGAGGCACCTTCGCTAGACGACTCGTCCCAAGTCTGCTCCGACATCAACTTCGTACTTGTGCAGTCCAGAGCAACATCGCGTATTTTCTTTAAGCCCAGAAAGAAAAATGTTGATGTAATAGATATATGTACGCAAATGGGGACGAACAGCGCTCGTATGGAACGTGACGAGTAGCCGGAAGTTGGATGGGGCGTAGATGTTCGCGAGCGTACATGCCCTTTCAAGTACTCCGAGTGCGTTCATTTGTACGTTGCACTGTATGTCCAATACGGTTCAGATAACCTGCCACGTCGACCGCTTTTCAACCGTAGTCTACGTAAGCGTAAACGCGAGCTAGTCGAAGAAATAGCAGATGCAATGGCAGCGCAGCAAGAATTGCGTGGACGTCCGATTCTCAACGGACCGGCATTGCCATTGACGTAAGACCAGCAATGTAGCAACCCGACGTTTACTTGCGCAATCCACGTTTGTGTTAATACATCACATCTCGTCCAACTTCAACTCACTTGTTCCCAACGTCGTCTCGTTCGCAAACCCAATTGGTAGTCGTCCACTCCGCGTCACGCGGACAATTTAAGCCCAGGCTCTTAAACCTACTCCCACGAGCTACTGTCCATCATCTCCCCCCTTGTTCAAAATGGTTCTGTCGTCAAACAGTTCAAGCCCATGCTGCAGCCGTGTGTTCACTACCATCTTCTACAGTCTCGATGCTGTTGTACGCTGCAGCGCTATCGCGATACATCCTGAAATCATTTATGAGCGTCACGTACTTCATGGGGAACTTCAATTTGCCAGTCGCCATGTACCACCACACACACACGATACCTGGCAGTTTTCCAGTTCGAGCTGCTGGCTCACCACGTCGGAGTAGTGTGCGATCAACTGCTGTACCACCTCGAGTGTGGCCTTGTCTCCCACTTGTCCGCACTTTAACAATCTCTCTCCAACTCACCTGGACATCTAGCTGCTGTCGGAGGGATACGCTTACGCGAACATTGCCATGATCTTGAGTGTGAGTAAGTACTTGTTCGGGTTCGCCATGTACTGTGAGAGGCACCCACCAAATGACGTCGGGCCTGCACTACCCTGTTGTACAACATGTCACCGTCCTTCGTCGTGTTCTACGAAGAGCAGCCGCTCGGTGCCTTCATAAGTAGCAACCTGCCGGTACGAGCCAACCCAGCAGTGACTTGAGAGTGCTGCTTGTGTTGCGCATTATTTATTTGCGTCCGGGTATTTCGGCCGTCAACTTGAGTCTCGTTCCTAGACAGTGTTTCAGTGCATCGGCAGCTCTGTGTTGTACCCGTCCTCTTCGACCAGCGTCACGTCAGCTACGACCGACAAGGTGTTGATTTGACCGCCTCCACTTCTTTCTGTGAATGAGATACTTCAGTGAAGTTACTTAACTCTGCGTAACTCATTAGAAGTTGCGTAGGGGTACTTTTGATGCAGCTGATTTACCCTACCCGCTGTGTGCTTGGCAAGCATGTTGTTGATCGTGTGGGCTGGGTTCCATTTTTGATGGAGTATTTTTGGGTTTTTGTTTGTTTTTCATTTTTCCTCCGATCGAGGACAACTGCCAACAAATTGCCCAAACCTCTCCAAAAGCATTATCTATGACATTCGAGAAGCATATCCGCGGTTGCTCTTCCACTTTCCTTTCTGCAAATAAAGAGCGATGTCGAGACCCGAGGTGCACGTGCGCGTCCGGCCGTCAGCGTTAGCGCCGCCAGAACGAAGCCGAATACTCAAAGGCATGCAACTTGCTTTAGAAACGGGAGTCCAGGAATTAGTGGTAGTCGTACTCCCGACTAGCAATACAGCAGCTCCAGGGGGTTATCGGTTGTACCCAGCCCCACCTGTTGAGGCTGCTCCAGGAAGCCGAAGGACTTCAAGCTAAGTTCAAATCCCTGCGCCTAGTACATGTGAAGAGAGACTTCAACGCCGCCGCCGATTACATCTCCAAGCGAGTCATCCAAGAGCAGTCATCATTGGAAGTCACGGACCTCGGGGAACGGAAGTTGCTTCAAGGCCTGAACCGGATCCACGAAAAACTGATGAAGGCCCCGATCCCCCGGGAACAGTCGCTGGCGGAGTGCGCGTCCCTAGCCACGGCTCAGAACATACCCAAGCACTCCCCAGAAAGGTTAGAAGGGGATGTGTTCGCGGTGACGCACTCGAGGTCCAAACAGGTCAAGGCTACAGAGGAATTGGTTTCGAGACCCGGCGTCGACGACTCTGGAACTGATGACTCTGGATCCGATGGCCCCAGGTCCAATGACTCCGGAACCAACGAGTCGGGAACCTACTGTCTCGGAACCAACGGCTCTGAAACCAATGAGTCGAGAACCGGCGGCCTCGAAATCAACGGCTCCGGAAATAACGCGTCGGGAACCGGCGGTCTCGGAACCAGCGACTCAGGCACCAACGGGTCGGGGCCCGAAGGCGCGGAAGACGAACCGACAGCCGCTCGCCGAAGCCCCGAACGCCAGGACTCTGAAGCGGATCCTGAAGGCGTCAAAGGATATCGCACCCAAGGTACAGTGCTACCTGGCTGCCAAACCCGGGCGAATCCACTGCACAATTTGCAACTAAAACCGGTCCGGGCCGCAAGGCCAGTGACGGTGGGATAAGTGATCCGTGATAACAACGATGGGGGCGGCACACCCAGGTAGCACGCGTCCCAACATCAGCTTTTTGAACCACTACCGTGTGGTGAAGTCGGTGAAACTTTCACCCCTTGGCGCACAGTGCTCACTCTTGTCCCGAGACTCTAGGAGATTCGGGTGCACAGAGGGTCAGAACTCTCGGGGCTAACGCTCTTGGTAAGGTTCCTCCGAGGCGAGACCGAGCTGTTGGCCCTGAGACAAACGACACACCTGGCCAAGATAGCGGACCAGTTTGTATTGGATTCACGGTAGCCTTCTCCAGGAAGTGTCCCGTGGCCGCAACAATCTCCCAACTCGGGAGGCTACAGAGAATGCAGGCGGCGCCCCCCCTCCCCGACCCATCTCTCTTGGCAGCTCCGTCGAAGCTCAACATATGTCCAATGTGTTCCCTAGAGAGCATTTTCAGACTGACTGGCGGTGTCTTGGTTCAGGAACCCTTCTCAGGAACCAGGGCTTCGGCGACCTCGTCTCGGCGTTCCCGGGGGGGGGGGGGATACCCGCCCCAGGATCGATGCCAAACCATCTTCATCGTTCTCGACTTGCCGGATGTCAAGGTCCCAGGGGGGGGTGGGGGGGGACAGATTGACTGCCCACTTGAGGCATCTTCAGTTCACCGTCTTGGACTTGAACAGCCATGCCACAACCGAGTACTGGGTGTACACGCGAATTTTCTTTTCGGAACAGCTGGTAATCATTGTGTGGCACGTGTTCAGGACTCGGAGCAGCGTTAATGCCTCCTTTTCGGCGGGGATCAGCGTCCTGAAGAACTCGCCCCACGAACCGCACGGGTAATATGGTGCCGTCGTAGTCCTGCCCCAAAACCGCACTGATGGTCCAAGGGGTTGGCATGCAATATTATTACATACTGTCTCCTGTGGCCGCGGTGCTGGAGCAATGGCGTCGACACTAGCCTATCTCGAACACATGCTTGGCCTCTCTAGATCTTGCCCAGAACGGAGTTGCTCGTCCGATGCTTCGTAGAGAGTGGCTGCGAGTACGGGTAGATCCTCGATAAATTTGCCGCAGTAATTGAGTCTCCCGAGGAAGGATGTTACTAAGGGTCTGCGGGAACGACAAGTTGAGGACCTTTTCCGCTAGCTTCGAGGACGTCCGGATTCCGTCCGAGCTGATGTCGTGCCCGAGGTACTTGCATTTCTTGACCCCGAACTCACTCTTTGGGAGGCTCACCAAATGTTCCAGCACCGCAGTCGGTACAGGAGGACATTCAGAGTTTTGCACAGGTCATCCCAGGACGGAGCTCCGTAGATGATGTCATCGATGTACTAACTCCGGAACAGCACAGGTCCCATCTGTTATGGGGCAACTCGGTTCTGGTGGAACACGGTCCGTGCTTGTCCTGGAGACCACCGCCCCCCCCGGGGATCCGTGCCCTGGGATACCGGGGCGCCCGAGGCCTCTGGAGAAATCCCCAAGAACTCTAGCACCTCCGGGTCGACGAGTCGTTCTTCTTCCGGGGGTAGCCGGACAAAACTCCAAAGGCAATTGTCCAAAAGTTGTTGGTAAGTCAATGGGGCGTTCTTCAACCCGAATGACATACGTTTCCACTTAAAGTGTACGAGCGGGCAAATGAAAGCCGAGATCAGCTGAGCTCCGACCGTCATTGGAACTGCCCAGAACCCACTTGCCATGTCCAGAGTCATGAACAACATAGTGGCGGCGAAGTTGCTCATCAGTTCGTCGATAAGGGGTCCGGGGTAGTTCATTAGCTTGATCAGCTGGTTCGCCAACCGGTAGTTGATGCACTAGCGGACATGGTACCGTTCTTCTTCATCACGAGGACGATGGCCGATGCGCATTCCAAGTCCGAGTACTCGATCAGACCAGTTTTAGGAGACGCTTGAGCAACTCGTACACCTTGGACAGTAAGTCGGCAGGAATCCTCCGGGACCGCATGGAAATGGGTTTTGCGTCCCCAACCTCCAGGTCGCACACGACGCCCCGGACCGGGGGAGGGAGTGCATTGCCTTCGTCCAAGAAAATCGTTCGATGCTTCCGGAGGATTGTCCGAAGCCTCTCTTCCTCTACGGGGTCCGATTCCCCGGGCTCCCCGACAATCGCGTCATCGATGTTGGCGTCGGGCCTGAGGTCACTAAGGTCGGGAAGATAGGCCAGCTGGTTCTTGAGCATGTCCAGAAGCACGAAACAAGACCCTTGGTGGTAGTACACGGCGGGATCTGCGTCGAGGCTGTCCCCAGCTATGGCCACCATCACAAACGACCAGGCCAGCGCGACTTGAACGTCTATGGGCGTAGACTCGGAGGACGCTCGGGCTGATTCCCGAGGGCCCCAAGTCCCGAAGTGGATTCGTCCCCCGAAGAGGCTTGGGCTTCATGGTCCAAGGATCGGCATGGGGACCGGAGTGATCCGGTTCTGGGGATTCACCTGAGACGGTCATGACGCCGCCGACACTAGGCACTGGAGCGGGTGTGGTAGGGAGGTCGCCGGGCCTCGAACTTTTTCCACACTGGGGGTCCGGGACCGATTTCGCTGGCCGTTCGCCCCCAGAGGGTTCCCGAGTCCGCGAGACTCGGTGGGCCTCGGGGACTTCGGGAACAGCAGCTGGGGTCCTCGGGGTCTGCCTGAGGACACGGGTCGGAGTTGGATATGTCGGCCGGTCCACCATGGGAGGTGCAGCCCGTTCGAGTTCCGTACTTCAGTATTCAGGCGGCGTTCCGCCGTGGGCGACCGCGTGTTCTCGTAGACGGGAAACTCACGTTCGTCGTACTGGTAGGAAACCGAGCGCACGAAGTTGGTTCCGAAAGGCAACCGATCCCGATCTGTGAGAGTGGTGACCTTGGTATGCGGAAGTACTTGAACCGGTCTCCGGGAGATGTTCACCACCCGGGCGGCGACGGGGACTCACTTCGTGCTAAAAACCACTAGAGTCACCCAACGGTCCCCCCGACTGACCCACACGTCCAAGGACCCGAGGTCCGGTTCCGAGGTCCGAGTCGGGATATACTTGCTGTCCCGGGTGCTAACCAGAGACTCTCGTGTATGGATACGTCGATGGTCCGCCCCAAATGTGAGCGCTTGGGACACCCGACAAGAAGTATCCGTTCCTCGTCTGGGAGTACCACTTCGCCTTCGTGCGCACACAACCGGACTCCAGCGGCGACCCTGAAGTTCATCCCCAGGAGGACGTCGATGCCTTGACCGATGTTCCCTACCCAGACATCTAAGGTGTAAACCACTCTGTGTCCAAGCGTTATCTTAACTCGGCACTTGTTCATGACTTTGGTCTTCACTCCATCGATTCCGTTAAGCAGGAACTCGCCCCGAGTCTCCGCCCTCAGCTTTAACCTATGCGCAAGGTCTTGGATGATGATACTGATGGAGGCTCCGGAGAAGAGGTACGATGGTGGAATAGGACGAAAGCTACTGAACAGGAGCTGTCGTCCCAAGAGCTCGCTTCCTACCAACCTCGGCGTTCCCCGGGTTGGAATTCAAATGAGAGTTCATCTTCGTCTGGGGCGACATGGCTAGTGTAGCCAGAACGGGGCTCCGGAGTGGGTGTTTGTGCAATTGATATACATGGAGGTTCGTTAAGACCTACATACGCATAGGCGCAGCAGGTCCGACGGGGCTTAGGCTCGTCGTGTACTGGGACCCTACCCAGCGAGCCTAATTGTTTAACGCCGGAGTGACCTCTGGGGGTAACCTCTGCCACACCTCCTCCGGAAGCCCCTGGAGTTGTCCTCTCTGGGTTGCATCCTTGAAAGCCTTAATGATTGCGCATTCCCCAGTCGGATGCAGCTGGCAGCACGCTTCGCACTCCCGGAGTCGGCACTGACTGGTTGGGTGTTTACCCCCCCACATCGGTCGCACTTCATCAGCTGCCAACAACGCTCCCGAATGTGCCCGAGCTTGTCGCACACGGGGCACGGGACCAAGGGTCTGGGAGGCCCAGAGTGTTCCGAGCTCCTAGAGTCGGGGCGGCTATGGGGACGTCCGTTGCGGTCGTTCCAAGGCCCTGGGACTTCAGCGCGGAACACCTCCTCTTGATCGACCATACCGTCATAAGCTTCGTCGTTCTCGTCGTCGTACTGGTACCCCTAACCACACTCGTCTTCGTCTTCCCACCTCAGACCTTCGTTATCCGGGGCCTGGGGTTCCTGGACTTCGGGAGCCGCCATGGCGGCATACACCCCCGTACCCCCACCGGCCGGGGCCTGTGCCTTGGGGCTTCTGGCGCCCGAACTGAACGTCGATGACGGGCTTCCGCGCATGCCTTGTTCCATCTCTTCAACCTGCTTAAGGACATCCTCGAGCTCGTCCTTGGTGAAATAGACTCATCCCCGCAGGCTCAGTCGGAGCTCCCGGTCCCGGAGGTTCTTGAGGAATTGATTCACATGTCGGCGGCACCCGGAAGCGGAATGGTAGTCCACGTTGGTCTTGGTAGCCGCCGCATTGTGTCTCCACAAGAAGGTCCGGGGCGTTTCCTGGGATTCCTGCTTCAGGCGCAGGTAACGCTCGACCGGGGACTCAGTAGACCTTCCGAATTACTTATAAAACCGGTACGAGAGCTTTCGTCAACTCCGACTGACCGTCTCCGGAAGCTGCTGCACCCAGGCCTTCGTACCCGGGTTGTACGAGAGCCGGCTATAGAGCCGAGTGCACAGCTCCTGCTCCCGCCAACCCCCACTGCTTGTCCAGCGAAAGCGAGGTGTCGAACGACTCGACAGCGTTGTAGGCGATGAAGGGTCGGAAGCTCACGCTGTACCCAGGAGCATAGCCTCTGGCCGCTGGTGCTCCAAAGGCTAAGGCCCCCGGATCCGAATCTGCGGGTCGGGATGATGGTCGGTCTGTGCTCCCAAAGCTGCTATCCCAGGTTGGTGTGATGCTGGACAGTCTGGAACCGCCCGCGGTTGATGCCCCTGAGGGGTCGTCCGGAGCCGACCACGGAAGCGCTGGGAAAGGTCCCGGAACTGGTCCTGGGCCATGTGGGTGGGGCTCTCGTCCCGAGCTCGCGTAGGCCTGGGAGCCAGTGTATGTGCTTGCAGAATAGGACCCCAAGGGTCTGCTTGACGCCTGGTTCAGGGGCTGCTCGGACGGCGAACCGGGGCCGAAGTTGAATCCTCCGGCCACGGGGTTCAGTGTTGACCTTGGGGGCTGGGACCATCGTTTGAGCTTGTCCTGGCCCCTCCCTGAGAAGAAGGCGGTGGAGTTGGGAGCCGCACTCCCGGGAGCTGGCGTCGGACCTCGTACAGAGTTGGGGACAGGTGCGGCGCGAGCCGGCAGGGCTCGTATTGTCTCGCCGTGTGAGACCCTGACGTTCTTCCCGCGAGTGCACCGCTTCTACCCGCCATAGTACTGGTCGGACGACTTCCCGACGAGCTCCCGTCGCGGTGCCGAGACGGTCTGTCACCCCGAGCTCGTCCGCCCTCACTAGAGTGGGGGGACGAAGTCCGCTCCCGAGACTGCCGTCGCCCGCGTCCTGCACCGGCTTGCTCCCGGTACTGCCGGAGCTCGTCTAACTCGACCTCCCGGAGCGCCGTGTCCCGAGTCACCCGGGCCCGGTCTTCCCGAGCCTGATGTTCTATCTCGCGCTTGATCCGGAGCAAATCTTCGTCGGCCCGGATCTTTGTCTTTTCTATGACAACCGTTTCCCGGGAAATGGCTTGGTTGCACTGCTCGGACACCTCCTCCATCCGGCGGGAGGCTTCGGCTCGAAATTGGGAATCGTCTTCTCGCTCCCGAGCCCTTTCTTCCTCGAGCAGGTACAACTTAGCCTGGAGGCTCGCGAATTCTTGGCCGGCGGCCTTTTTACTTTCCGCTTCTCTAGTAGTTCGAGCTTGGTATTCCGCCTAGCGATACTCCCACTCCTCTTGGGAAAACTTCGTTTGTGCGGCTCGGGCTGCGCGGTAGTCCTCGTGTCGGAGCCGTTCCTGCTCACCCTGGGCAACCAAAGTGGCACGGAGTTTGGAGATTTGTCGGTTTGCATCTCGCAAATCCTGGTCCCGATCCCGGCCGGTCTCAGGGAGAAGGGGCCCCTGATCCACCCTTGGGGTTGTCTGACTTGATCTCTTCGTTCAGCCCGTCCAGGTCGCTGCCCCGAGTTATCGGCGGCGTCGAGGCGCGAGGTGGGAGCCTTGCGTCCTGACCCGGCGGGTACATGGCGACCGGGACGTAGAAGATCAGTTGTTCCGCGACGTTGGACGGTCCTGTCCCCGAGCCGGTGGTGGCTATGTATACGTCTACCATTGCCGCGGAGGGTTCCATACCAGGGGACCCCTGGGAACCTCCTCCCGCGGACGACATGTTCTCCTCCGGAGTCAGCATTTGTGCGTCTCCGGAAGCCAGGCTGGACGTGCCGACAACCTCGGGGATATGTCCTCCCCAGTCTCCAGTGGCCTCGTCCGAACCAGGCCACGAAGGCATTTGCGTCGGTAATTCCACGGCGTCGTTTAAGTTCCGGTCGGCTCGCGTCGGACTCAGATCAGTCCCGCGGACTCACGTGTGCTAGCCTCAGTCGGGTCACCACCGCGGTTCGCAGCAACTCCTGCTCTCCTAATGTCAACATCAGGGCATCGCCATCATCTTCGGCCGGGAACGCAGACACTACCTCCGAGTCCAGGGCCTGGAACGAAGCATCGTCTCGGTGTACACTGTAGTGACGTCCCCGGGCGATCTCGTTCCAAGCGACTTGTTCGACCGTCAGTAATTCTCAGAAGAAACTGGCATCGGACATGAACTGGCCGTCTCGGGCCTCAAGTAGTGCTAGGCTCAGCGTACGTCCCCAAATCGGGACGAGGTACAGGAACGCGTAGCCGGTGTCATGCACCATGGTCTGCAG